CCAGGCTCAGCTTTATTCTTAATAAGAACCTTCCAAAGGAGGAGAAAAAATAGTCCTCCCAGAAATTGGGTATGAGCAACGTGTACTTGTGGCGAAACCTTTGGAGTGACTGTAGGTTTTTTAGAGGATCCACTTAAAGTCTAAAGACCTACCAGTTATCAAAAAATTCCAGCTCTTCTCCTATAACTCTGTGGTGAGGCATTTTAGCTTCAGTAGATTTACGAGTGCCTTTAAAAATACCGAAAAATGTATAATACTAAGCTGATTTGCTGCAGAATAGACTAACCTAAAATATTCATCCATAGTTGCCTAATCCCCTCCATTCATGGAAAGTGATATCAGGAAATGAAAATGGCAAGGAACTCCCTCTTATCCGACTAAAAATACATTTATTAACAAGTGAAAAGTACGTCGTTAGCGCCTGCATGGCTATAATACTCTAAGCCTTGTGGAGGCCAGTCGGCTCAGGTTCCAATCAATTCATAAATTTTCATTAAATTGGACTTCATCATTCTTCATGAGACTTGGAGCAGATGTTAAGCTATGCTACATTTATTTCAGTTACTATGGGTTGTTTCGTAACTGACGAGCCCACTTACTAACGAACATACATGCATGGATGGGCATGAAGATAAATCAACCACATAACTACATACCTTCAAAAATTCGTATTTTGGTCGGGTATATAGCTTGTAGGAATGAGGCAATGGATTGTCTTTATCCGATTTTAGCCTAAAGTTGTCAAATAAATGAGGTACGACTCTGAGTATGTCCTTTCTATGACAGATGAAAGCTCAGCACATTTTCACGAGAAACGAACGAGTAGAAGTCGAGTCATGTCGTCGATTGCTAAAGCAAATATAAGTTTGCTTCATCAACAATCCCAACACAGAATGCGATATGGAAGATGCCCAGCATTCCTTGAAAGTGACATCTGCCCTGTGACCCAAGGACACTCATGGCAATGTGGCCGAGTGGTTAACGCGTCAAGCTCACATTCTACACGTTCACGGTTCGACTCCCGCTGGGGGTGTTGATAAGACCGATGCGAGGTCGAAACTTCAGTCCAACCTGGATGGGAACAACTTTAGGAAAAGCAAGGAAACGTGAAATTGATTGGGAAATATCAGCTCTACTTATATCATTGTGGGAAAATTCTACTATCAGTCCTTAATAACCTTAAAGAAACTAGAGTGAACACAACTCATATTGCTTAAAGTTGTCAAGAAAATGAGGTCTGACTGAGTATGTCCTTCCGATGACATGTGAAGGATCAGCCCATTTTCACCAGAAACGAACAAGTATAACTCGAAGAATGTGCCAGCCTCAGCATTTTCTAAAAGTTAACAGACAGTAGACAAAGGTAAATATTCACTCGTTTTTCGATAGGATCGACTAAAGAGTACCTTCATCATGCACTTTCACCCACGACAAATTGAGATCAAAGTCGCCATGAATATAAATTGGCTGACATTACTCGCAGAAAAGACAAGTTAGTAGTTGTCGTAGAGGAGGAAGGATTGATGATAGTAATGATGGCTACGGATAGCGGTAATATTAACAAGTATTGAATCCTATTAAATGCATAAACGCCTTGGTTACCGGGCGAACATGCATTATGAGATAGGTAGGAGAGCACGACATGAACTACTACAGATGGGGCATCATTGCAAAAAAGAGAGAGCAAGGCGAAAGCAAGCTGGGATGCAGAGCGATCCAAGAGCCAGCCAAAATAAAATCCAAAGAAAATAATGCGAATCGAGCGATAATTTCCCCACCACCATCAATAGAGCCGATCAAGCTTATGAAAATCAAATTATAACATATCCAGGGCTCACGAGCGTAACGTCTACCTGAAGCCACTGCGAAAGCTAGGGACCCTCCGAAGGGCAAGGTTGATATGGGTAGTAACTATGGCATTTAAAGGGAGGAAGTGAATTATAAAAACGGGGCGAAGAAATTGATGAGGAATAGAGTAAATAATTATTTAGTGAAAAATAGGAAGAATGAATGAATGGGATATTTTCGAGATGGCTAAACGTTTAATAAAACTACAACATTATGAAAAAGAGACAACGAATTGTGATAAAATTGTAAAATGTAGTTTACCATCGCTGGAACCGGAAAAAAAAAAGATTATTAATAAAAATAGGTGAACTACTCAGCATAGATAGTATGTTTAGAAAAAGGTTCATCAACGACGGATAATCTCAGGTGAAAATTACTTTATTGTAAACTGTTCGACCAGGCTCAATTTTCGGTATACCTAGGTTGTGTTTTTTGAGCTCATTCTACCTGCTCCCGAGCAAAAATAAAATGGGTCTGGCGAGTGAACAAGCTTTGTCCGAGCTATAACATCAAAGCAGAGCAGGGTGGTAGGTAAGTTTGCTGTTGCAAGGCCTATTAATCGACTCAGCAACGCTGAAGTAACCCATAAACCCCATTTTTATCTCAGTTTCACAACAGAATTTGCATTTAAATCGCATTCTGGCGCAAAACTAGGAGCAATGACACCAGTGACCTTGGCGACATTTGAAGTTTGTTGGTGCACAGCTGTTGTGCTAGTGACCAAACCTTGTATCTGATTTATGTGAGAAAAATGTGAATTTTGAGATAAATTCGCGATTTTCAACACAGTAGAGATGAATAAAATAGCCTAGGAAGTTAATTCTACCTAAAATAGTCTAAGCTATCGTTCATGAGAGATCCAAAAGTCCCTTCAGGACAAGATATTTCAACTTTAAGAAGTAAGTACCGAGCTTTTATCGGTGGTCTTGGGACGAGGGCGATATAAACCGAGATCAGAGGGGTTGTCGATATCCTTGCTTAAATTAGCATATTGAATAGAAGGTTAAAAAGAGGGAGAATTATCGAACACTATATTTTATTTTTCGTATTTAAGTAGAGTTTGGAGACTACCAGTAAATCAGTAATATGAGATGTATTCACCCTATTTTGTTTAAGGTGATGAAGGACTGGTAGTAGAATTTCCCCACAATGATATGATAGAGCTGACGTTTACATTGAATTTCACATGGCCTTGCTTTCCCAAAAGTTGTTCTCATCCAGGGTGGACCTATTTGAGGTTGAAACTGCAGTTCACCTTGGATGAGAACAACTTTTGGGAAAGTAAGGCTATGAGAAATTCAATTGAAACTTTAGCACTACTCATAT